AAGTGTGATATTGTCATGTTAAAGAGTTACATGCTTAGGATTCTGTAATAAAAGATTTTGTATAAAAAGGGGGCATTATTTGTGACAGACCCTGTAGCTCAAGTCCCCTGCGCCTCAACCATTCTAACCCTTAAAACACTAAGTAATTACAAGCCAGTTCCCAAGACCACCTTTAACATCACACAAGTCCTACCTCAGGTAACTTATATCCCTAGGGAAGCACACTCTTAAAATTCAGAGCTGAAGGAACCAGACAAAGGCAGCATCTAGAAGCATTTCCTCTGTAGCCAGAATTCTGGCCAAATCATTCTAGAGTTTAAAAGGTTAGTGCAGTGACATTTAGAGAGCTGCTTATGTTTGGTGTACACTGCTTTACTAAAAAATAAGTTTATTTCCTCTAGCTCTATTCTCGAGAGAACTATTTTTTAAAAAACTGCCATATGGTTACTAACCAATACCCAAACAATTTTAATTTAAACTTTAGATCTATTCGTTAGTATATCTGGTAAGCTGGATCCTGAAAGATTCTAGCAATGTCTAAAAAGTTCCACTCTGTGGGAGCTGTCTTCAAGAAGTATAGAAAATATATATCCCTGTTTGGGCGCGGGAGTGGCGCGCACTACTTTACAATGCACAATGAAAGTAACTGATTTTCCTTCCAAAAACCCTATCTTTCGTCTCTTTCTAATAAAATTATCAAACCATCAGTACGAATAATAAAGTCCTTATTTTATATTATATAACTAATGTACTCTAATGTGCTCTTAGGCCAATTAAAATTCAGTGTTATCACCTGAATACTTTTCAATGGCCAAAATAACATTTCATGGAAAAAGCTATAATGGCAACAAAATTAAATATATTATCTCTTAGAAGGCCTACACTATGGTCTGTGAAAAATTGCTTTAAAAATAAGGCCTATGCTCCTCCTAGAAGCATTTTCAAAAGTGTAAGGAGCCTAACAGCTTTATCAGGCATGGGAAGATTTCCAAATTAAGTTGAACTCACTTTTTTCAGTGCGCTCACCACCCCTAAAAATAGATCTCGGTTTCCCAAATCTGCTCTAAGAGAATAAAAACTCTAAATATGGGTCCTGGTCTCTTTTCATATAAAATTATGGGTTGAAAAACAAAATAAAATCCATTAATAGGCCACAGGGGCTCTATTTATCACACAGGTATAGGTAGGCATACAGTGAACAGAGCTAATCAGAGAAAAGCCCAACATAGTTGCCCAAATATCTGAAAGTTTTTACCTGCATTGCAAAAATTAAGTTAAAATATTCCAAAGCAGCCCTTCATTCTACACAGGCGGAAAGTGAATAAAAGGAAAGGATACTCTTTTTGCAAATTTTATATTTCATTCTGCCCCTTAAGATAGCTTCCCACTCACTGCACTTTGAATAAAACTCAAACTCCTAAAAATGGCCTCCCAACAGGAAGGTCCTCCAAGATCTCGCCCTTCACCCTCCTCACCAACTAGATCCCCAATCTGCACTCAGCTGGACTTTCAGGTTCCAGTCACAAGGGTTTTAGGATTCTTGCACAATCCAAGTTCTTTCCTATGTCCAGGTATTTGCACAATGTCCTCTACTTTGAAAACAAGTCCCTCCTCCCCCATATACTTCATGTAACTGGCTCCTCCTTTCCTCCTTTGCCTTTTTTTTTAGAGGTGGGGTAAGGGGTTCTTCCTTGTCTGTGCCCTAACCAGGGTCTAACGCACAACCCCCGTGTATCAGGACCATGCTCTAATCAACTGAGCCACCCCTCATGGGCTCCTCCTTTGTCTTACGTGTCAAATGCCACTTTCTTCAGAGGATTCCCAGAGCATGTACTCTCTCTCTCATAATTATCTGCCCTTTAACTTCTCAGCCCTTCTAATTTTAGAGAGGAAGGGAGAGGGAGCTTTCAAAAGAGGGAGAGGGAGAAAAAGAAAATGAGACAGGCAGACAAAACACTGATGTGAGAGAAAAACACTGATCCGTTGCCCCCTCATGTACATGCCCCAACAGGGGTGGAACCTGCTGCCTAGGCGTATGCCCTGCCCTGGGAAGGGACACAACCTTTCGATGCACAGGACGATGCTCCCACCGAGCCACCCAGCTGGGGCATCAGATGATTTTTTTTTTAATTTTAATTATGTTTATTGAATTGAGAGAGGAAGAGGAAGGAAGAGACAAGACAGACAGGCAAACACAGACATCAATGTGAAACAAAATCCCCAACCGGGGATTAAACCCACAACCTAGATATGTGCTCTGACCAGGAATTCAACCCTTAACCTTTCGATGTACAGGACGATGCTGCAACCACGCCACACTGGCCAGGGCAGCCCTTACGATTTTAATTATACCGTGGTACCTCGGTATTTGTCGTTAATTCATTCCAGGACTGTAAGGAGTACCGAAAGATGAAGCATTTCCTCTTGTGGGGAGTGTCATGACTCACACAAGTTCTAACAAATGCAACAAGCCCCAAGCAAGCATCAAGTGCGGAAACATTTTTTTCTCATCAAAATGCAACAAGTATAGGGTCTGACGAGTTCTGAAGCTGACGACTACCAAGGTATGACTAAATGTGTTTTTGTGGACCATTTTTATCCCATGAAAACACAGATCCCATATGCTTGGTTCATCAGTGCACATCCAGAACTTAGCAAGGTCTAAGTGAAATACAGTACACGGTCAACTTTTTATCCACAGAAACAGTGCCCTTTCCTAATTCTTACAAACAGAAACTTATATTCTCTATCAAATTAACCTAATCTGCTCCGACTTCCTCTATGGTATGCATAAGTCAGGGAACTACACCCATAACTAAATAATTCATCTCTGACTTTACCCAGCTCCCCGCCGCCTCAGCCAGCCGCCTGTAATCCCGCCGGCATGTCTCAGGCTGACTTTGACAAAGCTGCTGAGGAGAGGAGGTCAAGCACCTCACGACCAAGCCAGCAGATGATGAGATGCTGTTCATCTACAGCCGCTACAAACAAGCAACGGTGGGTGACATAAATACAGAAGAGCCGGGGATGTTGGACCTCGAAGGCAAGGCCAAGTGGGATGCCTGGAATGAGCTGAAAGGGACTTCCAAGGAAGACGCCATGAAAGCTTACATCCAGAGTAGAAGAGCTGAAGAAGTACGGGATCTAGGGACAGGGTCTGGCTGCCAGCCACGCATTTCACCTGAGCTGATGATCTTCCCTTGTTCTAATGCTGTGGATGGAGTAAGATATGGAATGGACCCTCTTCCTGAACACTGTCCAGGACACGGCTTTAACAGATTAAAGACCTGAAATGGTTATTGACCTTGCTTAGTAGTTTTTGTCTCCAGGTCAATTAAAACTGAATGTTACTTTAAAAAAAAAAACCTGCATTTTGTCTACTTTATGTATTTTTAAATAAAAATTATACATACTTGAAGTGTACAATACGATTTGATAGAAATATTCATAGTGAAATGATTATTACAGTCAAACAATTAACATCATCGTCTCAGTGTTACCATTTTGGGTGTTTGATCAGCGCACCTGAAACTTTAGCATATTTCTAGTGTTCCGTATTACGTACAGTAACCATGGGGCTATCTTCTTTATCCAGACATGTAACAAAGCAAAAGCGCATAAAAAACATCAAAATCCTACTCCCCTATTCTCACCTTAATCCTGTCACTTCTTTCAAGACTTTTAGTAAATTGTGTGTACGTTTGTGCGAGTATAATGATATAAAGGTGCAGTGTGTGTGCATGTGTGCACACACGCGAGCCTCACTTTCTAATCTAACACTTGCACATGCACTCTGTCCGACGTTTTGGCTTCAAACATGCAGCGCTCCTCCTTGGGACGCTTCTCCTGTTCCTGCTCTCAACACGGCACTCTTCCGTTCTTCGTTCTCCTCCGCCTCCTTCGGCCTACAGCCCTCTTCCTTCTTGAACAGCAACCAACAGGACCTGTCCTCAGTCCCCTCCTCTTCTCTCTCGGATTTACACTCCCTTCAGTCAACCAGGCTGCTCATCGCCTGGGGCACACTCCCAGCCAAGCCCTCCAGGTGCCAGAGGACACTCTTACTTAATCACATTGACAGTCAGGTCCAAAAAGCCGAACTTAACCTTTGCCATTAAAACTGATTTTTCCACATTTCTATCAATTAAACCTGTGTTTCTAAGGTCTCCCAAATTTACAATCAGTCTTCACTGATTATTTCATTCCTCTAGCCCATTTTTCCTCATCAGTAATTTATAATCATCGTTTCTTCTTTGGGATAAACAATCTAAGCCCCTATTACGGCCTACAATTAATTACCCAAGAGATTTCACCTACATTCGTTTATCCCTACCGCCTCTCCCCACAAATCCGTCCTGAATTGTACAATGATGCCACTAACAAGCCTCCCTAAAACAAGATACGACACCCCAAAAAAGAACTTCCTTCTGATGAACTTCCCTCACTTTACCTCACTATTCCACCTTATTCTCTACAATACGTAAACGGAGGGCCTATGTTAGTAAACCCACTCACCTTTTCTGTTCTTAATCAAGCCCAAACTGGGCAGGTCTTTATTGCTGCTGCTCCCTCTCCAACACCACCCTATACGTACTGGATACTTCACAGCCCAATACCAGACCTACCTTCTCCAAGCTACTTTCTACTGTGCAATTCTCAATCTCTTTCTTTGGATTTCAATAGTTTTTACATTCACATTGTTTTAAATATAGCAAAACTACAGCCATCTAAATTTTAACAATATAGCATCACACAGGGAGGATTTGAGATCTTGCTCCCAGGCATGTTTTCAATTTGGCTCAAATTAAACTCATTAAAAAAATTCCAGTATCATATAAATTACTTTCATTCAACTAGTTCTTATATTTCAAAGAATATCCTTAGTCAAGAGGACTTAATGCATATATAAAAGATTACGCATTGTTAGATTAAGGCACTTCCATCATTCTTCAGATCAAGCCAGACGGTCAATCCGCTGGACCTAAGAAAATGACCAGCTTTACCTGAAACATGTTGTCATCCCTGCTGCTGCTGCTCTGCTTAGAAGATGACAGGGCTCTTGAAGTTTCACCAGTCTTTTGCTTCTTTACAGGTTTTTCTGAAGTAACTTGCTTTTTCCTCTTTAACTTGAAATAAAAACATGAATATGATTAAAATTTGCACACTAAAGAAGAAAACACATCTCAGGTTTATGGGCAAGAAAAGGGATATGTACAAGTTCAGGGACCAAAAGTCACCACACAGGACGACCTGATCATAAATCCCTCGCTGGGCAGGTCAGGGCAGGGAGTCGCGCCCCAGGCATGTGACCTTATAGTGAAAGGTCTATCTTTGCATTAAGCCCTGTCCACTGTTTCTGTGCACCTAGGTTAACACACCCTTGAAATGTCTTTTTCAGACATCTGAAAAGCTTGACCAATCACCCTCAAAAGAACACATGGTCTTGTTAACTATCTGGTAATTCAACTCCTGCCTCGCTTTCTCCCTCCTTCATGGAATCTTTACATTCCCTTCCTACAAGAGAAACTACAAAACCATCATTCTCCAGCATGTTGGAGATTTTGGTTCCTGGCAATGTCATCAGTTTGACTCAGATAAACTCCTATAAAAATTCTCTACAGATCTGGGCATGTCTTACCTTGACAGGTTCAAAAGATTCCATTACTTTTTAAGATTTAAATAATCAAAAGACATTTGTTCATTAAGTAAAAAATCATAAATACAAACATAAGCAAGCTGCACCTGACAATGAAACTTTGAAACTAACCTAGAACTGATATGTAACAGTGTTTTCAGGTTGTTCCCAGGAGCCCAAAAATACTTGAGAAATTAGAGTGGTATTAACTAGAAGAGTTATTTTGTAGACCAGGATCCCACCTAGTCTTTGGGAGGAGCAACAGTAACAAAAAAAAAGATGAGGAGTCTGCTGCTTTTAATAAACTTCTGGAAACCAGTCTACTAAAGCTACAGAGGGAATGCGCTAATTAGGAAGAATATAACCAACTTACTCTGTTTCTAGGATATGATTTTTTATTTATGCTGTCAATTCCAAGAGACTGAACTGGCTTAGGGAATTTGAGTAGACAAAGCTAAGAAACCTATTTTGTACTGGGCACTACAAGTTAACTCAAGAACTTCATCATCACAAAAAAATCACTGAAGACAGAGTAAAGTTTGACTAGCATTCAAAATCAAAACAATGCTTTAAAAGTAGCACTATTGCAAAAGTTTTCAATATAGCCTCATTCTCAAAATGAGCTAACGGCCCATGAAAACCAGCAGAGGGCAGTCATGTTCTTTAGTGGAAAGCACAAGCTAGTACAGGGTAGGCAAGACTCAGTTTACAATTGTAATATGAATACAATTAATAAATAGAACAATAAACTGTTTTGTGTACTCACAACTGTAAACTTTTTCCCACCTTTATAGTTTAGGCTTTTCCTAATTTTGGACAAAGCTAGGTAAAATATAATGTATATAAGCCAAAAAAAAGGGGGGGGGCGGTATTTAATGTTAGGTCCTTACAGGATTATTAGTACTATTTGGAACAAACAGCAAAAATTTACTCAGCTCAATAAGCAAAAGCAATTATTCATTACATCAGGGTCTGTCTAGCTACGCCCTGTGGACTGGCGCATAGCAGTTCAATAAAACTGTGTTAAATGAACATATTCAAATGCTACACTATGTGCAAAGTTAAAAAACTGAGAGATTTCCTTCTATAATATATATATGTTCTTTGGAGTCTTGTTTCAACCTTCCAGATGATATTATATTCCATATTTCCCCATAAAGGTCCATCTTCTGCAAGATTCTCCCTTAAGGTCTCTTTTAACTAACAAGCTAAGCTCAGAGACACAACTCTGTAAGCTTCTAGGAGATAAAGCACAGGTCTGCGCGGAAGCAAGCCCTGGCTGAAGGGTCAGGTGCTCACTTAAGGGGAATCATGTACCACTTACAGTGCAGTTGTCAACTAATGCAGAAAAAGTCTATTCTGCCTAGGTGGGTAATTTCATGTCTGCTTTGCTGGGTTTTGATGTAACTAAAAGGAAGGGACCAGAGTAAATAACATTCTAACTTAAAATGTACCAAACTTAACATTTTAAGTAACACTTGCAGGCTCGATAAACACCAATGGCTGAGAAGGCTGTCAAAACCGACATCTGCATTCCAGGGGTTCGTATAATTTGGATCAACTAGTTCATACAATAGCTGCTGATGGACAGATTTCTAAATAATGGCAGAGTGGCTTTGGCCTTATTCTAATGCTATTCCCCTGGGGTCCACGGTGTGGCCCTGCAGCTGCAGGGCTCCTCTTCAGAGGCCGGCCAGAGTGCAAGTTAGGGGCTAGGTATGGCCCTGTGCCAGCAGGCACCCGAGGCACATTAGTGAGGTGACCCACCCGGGCCGGCCACACCTTCAGACACAGCCCTCCAGGCTCTCCTTCTGAAATGCTGACATGCCTTGCAGTCCTTCAGAACTGGATACGGACAATACCCCTGAATTTATTAAGTATCACAGAGATGATTTGGTCCAGTAATAGTCACCTTTTTGTCAACTTCACTGTCAGAATCACTGCCAGAAGAGCTCGAAGAAACAAGTTCCTTTGATTTAGGCATTCTGAAAGAAAACATATTATGTAAATAATTTCCAAATTGCTCTTGTTACCCTCAATTTAACTCTCCCACAATCAAAAACTTAAGGAGTTCCATGGTTCCTTCTACCATTTTGTGGTACTGGAGTTGCTACACTGAGCACAATGCTCTAAGTTATCCTGTGATTTACGCTCTTTCAGGTTGAAAATAATACGCAGAGTGAAGTGTTCTGACCCAACAAGGAGAAAATCTCTTACACCAATGGATCTTTTTATACTTCATTTTAGCAGGGCTAGATGCTTATAAGCAGGGCACTTTGCAAGCAGCAGTTGACAACAATCACTCTGAAAGCCAGAGAGAAATATGAATAATTCCTCTCAGTACTGCTTTCCACTTCTCACTGATGAGACCTAACATAAAATTATTCACTGCAGGAAATGACCACAACATTCACACAACACAGGAAACAGTGGTGTTTTACAGATGTTGATGTATAATTAATTTGCCATTGTAGTACTATTTTTCATATTTTGTCTATGTTCTTAATTTTATTTGGCTTTTTGACCGTGCTATCAAATAACAAGCGCTAATTCAAAGTTCACAAAGTTATACATAATTCATAATTCATTACATTTTACACTGATTTTCTACTCTGAAACAGACCAAAATTTAAAGAATCTGCTTATAGGAGAGGTGAAACCTTTCCTCAAATTCCCACTAAGACCCTAGTTCCCCAGGGTCCCCAAGACAGAGGTACTGGGTTGGCCAAAAAGTTCATTTAGTCTTTTTCATGCATGGCTCTAGTAGTGCCTTTAACTTCATTCTAAATAATTTTGTTAGGCTGTATTGTGACAGCTACGATAGCAGCATGCAATTTTTTAAAAACTTATCAAGATTGGACTTTTTGTGCAGCCACTTTAATACTGAAAATGGAAGAAGATACACAGAATTTTTGGCGCATTACACTATTTCAAGAAAGATAAAAATGCAACTGAAATGCAAAAAAAGAATAGTGCAGTGTACGGAGAAGGTGTCATGAGTGGCTGAACATGTCACAAATGGTTTGGGAAATTTCTTGGTACTACTGACATTTTGGCCAAAGAATTATTTACTGTGCGGCTGTCTTGTACATCAGAAGATGTTTAGCAGGACCCCTGGCCTCTACCCACTAGAAGCCAATAGAAGGAGAGAGCCAACATACTCAAAATATCCGACTCAATAAAGTTATTGGTGAAAATGAAAAATGTCTTTTATTTTACGGAAAAAACTGAACAGATTTTGTGGCCAACCCAATACATAACCCAGTGCCTTCAAGCAGATGTGTACTGAGTGACTGAGTGCAGCAAGGCAGAGTCTCGCTGCATCTGTTTTTACAGAGTTGGGTTTTTTTTTTAAGCCCAAATCGCAAATTTCAAGAAACTCCAAGGGATGTTTTACCTATTTTCAAGGCACTTCTAATACCAGGTAATAAAACGCGTATTATCGGAGTATCTTTAGCTCTCTCCATCTCCTCTGATGAGACTGAGTCATATTAATTTTTTATGCCCTAAAGGCCCCAGTATACACAACACAGACTGTAAATGTTTGGAAAAAAAGGAAAAAAAGACTTTGCTTTCTCCTTAAAAAAAAAAATCATAATCTAGCTCCAGACTTGAATTAGGACTGGCATCCCACGTGTACCACAATAGGAGGTCAAGGTAAAAGAAGGGGGCCATCCCAACCCTGGCCACAAAATTCGAAAAGCTCACACCGCGCCCAGCCCAGCCTGTTGACTCTAACTGGTCATTTCTTGATGAAAGATTAACATTCCTGGGAGCAGCAACATTCATAACCACGTTTCACACATTATTCCTGGGGCTGCTCCATTTTACAACCTCATCTCCGAATCAATTCAGTTCCGTATGCTAGCTGCTAATAATGCCAAGAAACATCTTTTAAAGGTAATTACATTAAGCATAACCTATTTTTCGCTTTGAAACAGCCTAGCATAACTGTACCATCTGTTAAAAGCTGCCTGGGGGCCCAGGGTCATTTCAAAGAACACCCTCCTGTTTAACCAAGTCAGCCCATTAAGAAGAAACAGGTAATAGTAACTAAAGCCAGTCTCTAAGAACTTTGGACAAAATATGTATTTATGTTTACTTAATGTGCCTTTACTGTCTTCCCCACCCTCACCCCCGCAAAAAAGGCAGGCTCGTAATTCAGGCAAATGATACTAAAATCGCTAGTGTAAAATATACGCAAAAACGCAACCTAAGAAAACTAAAGCTTCGGTCATCGCTAGCGTGTTGGATTAGAAAAGACGCTGTGAAAATAAACTAGGACTAAAGGGCACATGAATTCCGTACAACACGAGGGTGACGAGCACCAAGACCGGGGAAGGGGGTCGCGCGGAACCAGCAAGCCTGCCAGAACCCCTGGGCTGGAAACGGCTGGAGCTGCCTGGGGGCAGGTTGGTCGGAGGGGGCGTGGGAGGCGGCGAAGTGCGGAGGAGACTGTGCGGGAAGAGGAGGGACTTGCACCAAGCGCCATTTTCTTCTCTCGAAGCACTCGCTACCCCTGCAAACCAGCCGTCCTTCACCCTCAGCCCCCTCCATCACCCACACGCCACGCTCCCACGATGGGATCCGCTCGCTCCCGCCCCTAGAGCGCCCCCCACCCTGGAGCCAAGGGTGGGAGCCCAGCGAAGCCTTAGGGGAGGAGCGGGCCCGCACGCGCCCCCGCCCGGGCCAGCGCTAGAGCCGCAGCCACCGCTGCATTGTCCCGGGGGCGCCCGGGCCCCCTCCCCGTGGCTCCTCGCCGGGCCGCGCCCCGAAATCCCGGGCCGCTGCCCCGCCGCTCCAGGGCTATTTCCGGGGCCTGGCTTTTGGCGCGGATGGGATTGCAGCATGAGGGCCACAGGGTCGTAGAAGGAAGAGGGGGGTCGGAGACGGAGGAGGGGGTCCTTGGAGGCCGAGGCAGGGAAGGGGTAGGTCAGGCAGCGCCGCCATTTCCCACGGCCTTCACTGAGGAGAGGAGCGACGGGTCACGGCACCGAGCAGCGCAGGTGGGAGGGTAAGGGGGTCAGCGGGGTAGGGGGGGTTCGAGGGCTGGGGGCAGAGTCCCGCGTACTCACGCTCCGCTCCTGCTTCTTAACAGCCCCGTGCTCGCTCGCTCACGACTGACAGAGAACCGGACGTGACGGAAGCCAGGAGACACCGGCTCCGCCCTGCTGGGACACGTGATGGGGCGTGGCTTCGCTCCCGAAACTAACACCCAAGACCCTTTCCAGGGCCTTAAAGGAACCGCCCCTCGTCCTCAACAAGTTCCATTGAAAGTGAGATGCAGGAAACATTGGGTCTGTAAATGAATGAGGGAGCTACTAAGTTATGAAAGACAACCACCGATGCACTTGTTCCATAAATGTGTCTCGTATGAAAGTGAAGTGTCCATACTGGAAAAAGATCGACACTGCTGGCACATTTTTCGCAGAAATGACCCTCTGCCGCCAACCCCCCAGTATTTGACTGCCTGGTAAAATCCAAGTAACAGTACAGAAAACGCAAAGAATTTTTGCACAGATCTTGGGCCACACACACCTTTATCCCTAAACTGAAGTCCCGGAGGTATAAGATAGTTCACAGAAGGCAAAAGAAATCCATACCACAAGCAGGAATATAGCTAATAGATTCTTTCAACATATGTTTAATGAATGCCTACTATAGCTAAGGATATATGTAAAGTTATATTCATCCAATACATTTAGCAAGGCACTGCGGGAGGCACTTTAGGTATATCAGGAACTCATCTTAACAAGCACTTTCCAAAGGAAGAATGGTAATTCCCTCCATTTTATAGATGAGGAAACCAGGGGTCAACAAGGTTAAATAAGTTGCCAGAGGCTCTACATGGAGTGAGTCATGATGCCAACCCTGTAGAGCCTGATTAGAGGGCAGCAGACTGAGGGAGGGACCATGCAAAAGCTCTAGCCCATTCCCTCACCCAGTGTCAGGCCAGCTGCCGGCTTTTTTAAACTTCCTTTTACATGACCTTCCAAAAAGGCGAAATAAGCTATGAGGACCAGGTTACCCTTGAGGGATATCACCTGGGAGCAGGTAGGAAGGAACCTACTGGGACGCTGGATATATCTTGGCCTGGGCGGTGCCTGAGTTACCAGGGAGAGACCTGAGTCAGCCCCCCACCCCCAGCTTGTTCCTCAGTTCTTGTCTCACTCAAAAGACAAATTCAAGCAAGAGACGACATGTACAGTAGAAATAAGATAGCAAGGTTATTTATGAAACACGTGAGCATGAAACTACAGGCAGGCACCCAGCTAACCTAAATGTCTCATGTGTAGAGTAAATAAAGTTATTAATAAGTTTGTTCTGCACACATGAGCCAAGACTACAAGTGTGGATCTGACTAATCTGACAGCACCAACTATTGGGGTTAAGGGGTTATATATCTCAGTCAGCTTCTAGGTTTCCCCCTTTTCTCCCCTTTCTAAACCTTGGGTATAATGTACAGTCACAAAGGCTTTCTTTTTCAGCAAGTAAAGACTCTTTGTCTTAGTGAAATTGCTGCAGAGGCTCCCTTTCGCAGCACAGAGCCTCGAGGACTCCCCTCCTCCGGCGCCGTCCCTGCTCGTGATGTTTGGGATGCCCACCATCTTCTTGGACCAGGCTCAGGACTGCTGAGTAGTGGATAAGACACGTCTCCCTCCTCCTCCCTGCCTTAGTTTACTACCTATCCTACCTCACACTGGTACAAGAGAATACAGATGTAAAATTTAAATTAATATTTATGCATTTTACAGTATATGAGATACACTTCAGTGAGAAAGTTGAAAAAGTAAAAAAATAAAAATATTAAAATTGTTATAAAAAGATGAAACACACCCAATGACCACTGTTCTAGCATGGTAGCTTGCTAGCCTGAAGTTTGCACACCCAAATCAGCTAGAGACATTCCCCAACCAGCACGACAACCAACTGAACAGGGTTCCTTTGGGGCCACCTGTGCCCTGGGACTCTGGGGGGTGGGGGGTGTCTGGTTGGGCTGAGTCATGTTCTGTGGTAACTAGAGGATCACCGGGCTGCCTGGGCCCTGGGAGACACAGATGTGGTTCTCCCTCAAAACCTGGGTGCTGCCTAAGGAAGGACAGGGTGCAGAGCACTGGTAGGAGCCATTTGACATACATCCTCCCCTCCCCCTCCTCCAAGATAGAAAGAGCTACATGTACTCTATTTACTCAAAAGCAGGAACCTTCCCAAAGGTCCTTTCCCAGTTTATTCACTCATTCAATAAATGTATACTGAGCACCTACTCTATCCTAGCACTGCTCTAAGTGCTGGGAATTCAAGAATGAACAGGACTGACAGGGTCGCTGTAAGCTTATAGAGCAGAATATAAGCAACTGAAGAATCAATAGTAACTGAAAAATAAAATTTAAAGTTTTTTTTAAAAAATATTACTAGACCTTATAAAAATTTTTTTATGAACATCTAGGCAGTTGTTGGAAACTACCTACTTTTTATCTTAATTCAAATAAAAACTTGGAATATGTACAAATAAATAAATAAATAAATAAAGACAGGGTGATGCCTTAGAAACTGTTGGGTTGAGGTTAATTTAGATACAAAAGGGCTGACATGGGAATATCTAGACAAGATGCTGCATTAAAAGAGACAGCCAAGCTAAAATTTTGGTGCTGGAGGTTCCAGGCAGCACAAGGAGCAAGCGCAAAAACGCTAAAGTCCAGATGAGTCTGAAGAACAGAAACCCACCCGATGTAGAAGCCTACTGGAGATCAAGGGCTGCACACAGGTGGGGCCCACACATCAGCCCCCCAGGCTCCATCCCAAGACCGTCCAAGCTCCAAGAAGTGCTGGCTCGGCAGAGCTGCAAGAGCCCCGTTCTGGTCTTTTCCCAAGATGCAAAGCAACACCATTACTTCTTCTTCACCCATCACTACTACTGATCAGCACCAAGGAATCCCACAGCTTCCCTTTGATGGTGCTTGTGCCCAGAGAAAGAGATCTGTGTTGGGGGGTGGGGGAAGGGTTGTTTTTTGAAACCACTATACATGAATATGCATGTCTATAAAGTTATCAAATGAAAGCTGCAACCACAAATACTGTAAGATTCTGCAGAGAGCTAGGATTGGAATAGGGAATGCTTCAAAGAGGAAGACAGCCTTGAGCTTGACCTAGGGACATGAGAAGAATATTTAAAATGGGAAAAGAGAAAGCCTCTGACCTAAATATGACCACAGTGGGAAGCTGCAAGTAGTCAATCCAATGGGAGTAGAGAGTTGGCACAGAAAAAGAGTAAGAGATTCATCTGGAAAAACAGGGTGAAGCCAGCTGGTGAAGAACCCAAAATGGAGTCCAAAGAGCTCCAATTTGAGGCCTTCTGACTTTATCCCATGTGGAAAAGAAGAGTAAGGTATGGCAGGTTTTTGAGCCAGGGCAATGAAATGTCTTAGGAATGCCTGGGGTGAGAGAAAGATTGGGCTGAAGAAAGAAGGAAGGGCTGGCAGCTGGGAACACCAGAGAGGAGGTTGGTTGCTCTAATCACCCGGGTAAGTGATTATTTCCTAGAAAATCAAAGTGACTGTCATTTGGGATTGGCCCCAGCTGAACTCACTGGGCACACGTCTGGTCCAGCAGAGGAAGCACTAAGAATAATGAGAAAAGAGATCTATTCTTCTAAACTTAAACCCGGTGAGTACAAGCAACTTTGTTTTGAGACACATTCACCGGCGTTGAATGCAGCATCTTGTCTAGATATTCCCATGTCAGCCCTTTTGTATCTAAATTAACCTCAACCCAACAGTTTCTATGGCATCGCCCTGTCTTTATTTATTTATTTATTTATTTGTACATACTCTAAGTTTTTATTTGAATTAAGGTAAAACGTAGGTAGTTTCCAACAACTGCCTAAATGTTCATAAAAAAATTTTTATAAGGTCTAGTAATATTTTTTAAAAAGAACTTTAAATTTTATTTTTCAGTTACTATTTATTCTTCAGTTGCTTCAGTTGCATTGAAGGCAGAGGGGAGAGAACCAGCCTTCCTTCTTTGTCACTGATAATGGTACTGCTATGGAATCGTATGGGCTCAATTCCAGAATGAACTCCCAGGCTTTCATACGCAGCAAGAGTGGAGGCCTTACCCAGGAGAGAGGAGGCCATGGCCCGCACCAGAGCAGCATTTGCTAAGCACTGTGCTCAGCGCTGACCCCCAGCCCTGGGTCAGTCTCACTCCCTGAGTATGAGCTCCGAGAATGCATTCTCATGGCTGCCATAGCAGAGAACATACCCAGTGGCACAGAATCCCAAGTTATAAAGAAGAACAGCAAGTGGAGGACTGGGAAGGGATCTGTGGTAAAGTGAAAGTGGAATTCTATAGAAGGTCAGGATTACAGGCCTGAGCCACCATGGGAGGCCATGGGTGTGCAGTGGATGGGGTGACAAAAAGAGGAAATGGGTGGGTCCCTCTCTGTGGGGCAGTCAGACCCTTGGTTCCCGTCCATCTCACCCTCACAGGAGAAGGGAGTTATATTTTCTCCGGGAAAAATGGAGGAGGAGTGGTATGTGTGAAGGGGTTGAAGGGCAATTAGAATATAAGAGACTGGGTCAAAGCCTGAACACTAACGTGAAAGCATTCCTTCCCAGGCCCTCTCCCCCTCTAGCACCGTTTGACTTTTTAAAGATTAAATGCAGACAAAAAAAAATACAAATTAATTTCTTTTAAAAAAAATTTTAAATTCAGAATCATAATGAAATAAGGGTAGCCAGGAATACGTACACTGACAGAGCCGCTGCCTGGGCCCCCTGCACACCCCACCCCTCACACGACCTACCTAGAGAGATGGTGGAAGAGGCAAGTGTTCACCTCCACCTCCTCAGGGTCTTTGCTGGGGCTCAGAATTAAACTGACATAAGACAGAAAAGCATACAGATTTACTTAAGTTTTACGTGACACAGAAGAAGACCTCATAAGGAAATGAAGACCCAGAGAAGTGGCAAAACCTAAATGCTTTTATAGGCAGTGGAAGTAATCCTGAGAAAGTAACTAAATTATGTGAAGAGACTAAAGGAAGATAAGAATTATTTGAGCAAGATCTATTTGCCTGGAATTCTCTCAGTCGCAACTTCCTGTCTTGATAAGAATGTTAATTTCCTTCCTGTATAGGAAATCCCTCTTCCATATGGAGGTTTTAGCTCCTG